GGAAGGCAGTGGATGAGGGCCCAAGTACTTGAGTCCCTGCTGCCCAGGTGGGAGGCCCAGATGGAGTTCCTGACTCCTGGCTTCCTAAAGATCATTATGTAGAGTGAAATAAGCCAGACATAGAAAAGACAAATACCAGATACAAGATCTTCCTCTCTCTGTCACTCTATTTTTCAAACGAATAAACAAATCTTGAAAAAGAAATATAATCATAGGGGCAGGCTGTGTAAGTGTGGTGGGGGAAGCCGCTGCTTGTTACGTGGCCTATTAATGTGCCTGGGATTGAACCCAGCCTCCATTTCGTAAGCAGTTCCTTCTAATGCACCTGGGAGTCAGCAGATAATGGTTCAAGTGCTTGGGTCACCGTCACCCATGTGGGACACCCAGATGGAGTTCCTGGCTTCTGGTTTCAGCCTGGCCAAGCCCCGGCTGTTGTGACCATTTAGGGGAGTGAACCAGCAGAGGAAAAATCTCTCTCCATCTCTTTCTGTCACTGTTTCAAATAAATAAATAATCTTTAAATATAATCATGTATTATCAAAAAACCTTATTTGAATTTAAGTCTTTATCAAGTCACTGTGTAAACAGTAAAATTAAAAAGGAGGTAACATCATGAATCATTTCTATAGATATATTCCTTTCAACTTCACTTACAGGGTTTTTTTTTTTAAGCTTCTCCGTTATTTTTTTGTATGTGTGTGCACATGTGTGTGCGTGTGTATACATGTTTCTGTGTCCTTCTGTCTCTGGCTCTGAATACTTTTTCTCTATCTTATGATAGAGAAACTTTCTTGCCACTATTCTCTGGTTCAATATTTTCATACTTAAATCTCAAATCTTGCTGGAATTCATTCCAGCAGACAATTTTCTTATTTTTCCCCAAATGATTTAACCAGTTACCCTTCAAAGCCACCCATGCCCTGCTTCCTCCATTAGGGCCATATCACAGTCCACCTCAATTCTTTCTAGAAGCTTCCTTCCTTGCATTCAGAACCCCAGTCCTCCTGCCCCACGCCACCTCTACCTCAGACACTTGTCTGGGTGACAATGGGCGTGAGGGTGTCTCCTCCCTGCCTAAATCCTTTTCATGACTGTTCCCTGCGCTTAGGAGGAAATCTAGTCTCTTGCATATGCGGTTACATGGCCATATAATTAATTTATCACTGAAACAGGGAAATGACTAGAAGGGAAAGAGAGGTCACCGACAGCCATGCCGGCACTACAGCACAGACCAGACCCCCCTGGGCGGGCCCTGTTCTGCAGGCACGACTGCCCAGCTCCAGCTGTGACACGGAGACGACCTCCTAGCCTCAGGCTGAGTGTGTTTAATTTCTGTGTGGGCTTCTGCCACTCGGACACAGTCCTCTGCTGCCGTCTGTCCACTCGGGCCCCATCTGCAGCTCTCAGTTTGTGAGTCACCTCTTCCATCAACCTCCTTCAGGGCCTAGGCTTGAATCTGGTGCTTTTCCTGTGTGTTCCACATCATTTCCATGTATTCCTCCCTTTTTTTTTTTTTTTTTACCTTTAAAGATTTATTTACTCTGAAAGAGTTACAGAAAGAGAGACAGACAGACAGACACCTTCCTGCTGGTTCGCTCCCCAGAAGGACACAATGGCCAGGGCTGGGCCAGGCCCAAGTCAGGAGCCAGGAGGAGCTTCATCCGGGTCTCCCACACCAGTAGCAGGGGCTTAGATACTTGGCCATCTTCCACTGCTTTTCCAGGCACGTTAGCAGGGAGCTGGATCGGGACATGTACAGGCACCCGTATGGGATGCTGGGGTCGCAGGTGGCAGATTTACCCGCTACACCACAGCGCCGGAACTCACGAATTCCTTTTTTTACCCAATTATGTCTCCTACCCCTTTATTAACCAACAGACTGCTACTACAAGTTGTATCCAGATGACCCGGCACGCAGTAGGCATGGAAGAAATACCTAAGAATGGAGGAAAATCTGTCTATAATGATACTAACAAATCACTGAAGTAAGTCAGAGAACTTCCCTGTATCTCCCTGTTGCCCTGCCTTTCAAATAAATAAATAAATCCTAAAAAAAAGAACCCACGATGTGGTAAACATGTGGAACACGCGTGATATCTTTCCACAGTGACTGCTTCTTTGACAGTCCACGAGAATATTTCAAAAAGTTCACGGAACAATGGAATTAAAAGTTACATTTACTTTGGTATGAAAAATTTTTTGAAATTCACAGTTTTTCCATAAAACCCATTTTCTGTAAACTTTTTGAACAGCTCTCATCTATCTGTGTGTGTTTTTTTAAAAAGTCCTATTATTCTGGAGGTACACCTCAGGTTTCTTGAACAGTGAATTAAATGTTGAAAATAGAGTAGCCATCTTTAAAATAAATAATTTCCCTTCTCCATTAGAAGGAACACTACTCACGGGGCCGGCACTGTGGCATAGCAGGTAGGGCTGCCGCTTGCAACATCAGCATCCCACATCAGTGCCAGTTCAAGTCCCGGTTGCTCCACTTCCAATTCAGCTCCCTGTTAATGTACCAGGGAAAGCAGTGTACCCTCATGGGAGACCGGGATGAAGCTTCTGGCTCCTGGCGCTGGCCTGGCCCAGCCCTGGCCGTTGTGGCTTTCTGGGCAGTGAAACTGAGGATGAATGATCTCTTTCTCTGTCTCTCCCTCTCTCTGTAACTCTGCCTTTCAAGTAAATAAAATAAATCTTAGAAAAATGAACATTATTCATATGAACACATCAGAATTGCATTTTGGTGGTCACTTAAATGTATAGATGCCATCTTCTATCAAACCTCACTTCTGCTTTAAATGAGAAAAATAAAACAGCAAATATTTCACTTCCTTCCCAGGACAAAAACAAAACAGAACAGAACAGAACAGAAAAGAAAGAAGGGAGGGGAGGGGAGGGGAGGGGAGGAAAGAAAAAGAAAAAGAAAAAGAAAAAGAAAAAGAAAAAGAAAAAGAAAAAAAAAAAGAAAAAGGACTGATTCTGTTCTGAAACAGTTTAGAATGTATTTGGGGCTGAGCTTTGATAGAAGTGAGATCTGAGGTGATGGCAGCTCACATAAATGACTTCAAGGAAAGCAAAGTTAACTGTTAGGTCAGAAAGAGAAGAAAGACACATCCTCCTGAGACTGGCTAGCTCCAAGTGACCACTGCCAACTGCAGCACTGGTGTGTGGAGTCTCATCCGCTGTCTACGCCTATTTCTCACATGCACAGATTTCATGCAGATTTCCCCCTCACCCATTCTTTGGTCACACTGCTGTATGATCACAAAAAATCAGCAAAATTACCCATCTAAATTATCTCCCACATACTACAATTTAATTATTCAGTGTGGAGCAATTTTATGAAATCTACCGTCCCAATACCAGCTTAAGTCACACCTTCCCTCAGCAGACAAACGCCAGCTTTCACCCAGTATAATCTAGTTTAGCTACGCTAATTTCAAACACCAGTGAACAGAATACCAGAATTGCAAAATCGCTTTTCTTTCCCCGGAACATCCCTTTCACTTCAAATATTCCCAAGCCAAGATCACCAACCTGACCCTGCTCTGGCTGGCAGTAACTTCACACGGGACATCTGAGACGGAAGGAGAGATCTTTCAGCATTTCTCTGTCTGGAACTCTCAACGTCTGCCCACATTCCTTCAACTTCAAGCAACTTTTCTACCCTAACCCGATCCTGCTCCTTTAGAACAAAAACGCAATCAATCTTCTGAATAACTGGAAGTACACTACCTTCATTTTACTAACGTATCCAATCACTCTCTACAGGACTACAGTCCTGTACCATTTCTACTGACATACAGAGAGTAGGTACTATCGTTCATGTGTGTTTTTCCTTCATCTTTCATTTCACACTATCTCGTTTTTTTGGAACATAAATTTCAGACCAAATACAGCATGGTTCCGAAGGACATCTCTCAAAGAAGATTACAACCTGTTTTAAAATCTGGTCATAAAGTTTCATTCAACACTTCATGTATGCTTACCAATAATCCTTGGAAGTTCAGTGATCATTTTAACTGTATCACTACACATTTCAGATGCAATTTTGACCCGTAAAAATAATGCATATTTTATATGCAAGTTCAAAATGTTTATTTTACAGGATCTCACGCACTAATGACATTAGAATAATACCAAGAACATTTTGAAATGCCTTCAGTAGGCTCATCGCATTTGGAAGAAAAATAAGTGATACATTTTGGAGGAAATGGATGGGAGAATTGAAGCCTTGTCTAGCAATACTTACTGGCATTTTATAATTTTTACTTTTAATTTGAAAGGCAGAGAGACAGAGATGGACAGGCAGAAAGAGAGCTTCCATCTGCTGGTTCACTCCCTAAGTGGGTCTCCTAAGTGGGTGTCAGGGAACCAAGCACTGGAGACATCACCCGCCGCCTCCCAGGGTGCACATTAGCAGGGAGCTGGAACTGCAAGTGGAGGCAGGACACATGGCCAGGCGCTCAGGTTTGGGACCGAGGAGCCCCATGTAGCACCCCAACTGTTGCACCAGCCCCCTGACCACACTGGGACCTGGAAGCAGAACACCACTCTGCTCTGCAGTGTTCCGAGTCTACCGAAGAGCGAAAGATGGGGAGGAGGAAGAGGAACGCTGAAACAGTTCCATAGAACAGTAGACTTTATTTGCCAAATATATGAGAATGCACAGTGGCCAAGTAAAATGAACCTTAGCAAAATTGCTAGTAGGTTCTGTATTCTGCGCTCTTACCTTCATTTAAAGGAAAATGACCCTGAAGCTACATACCATTTGCCAACTTAAATCCCGAGCTTCCCAACGAACATATCTTCTAAGTTTCTCACAACATTGTAGTCAAAAGCTTCACTCTTTTTCCTTAATGGGATCTGGGCTATTAAAATACTATGCACTATTTGAAAACACATTTACGTGAAAACTGATGCCCACAACAAAATTCCTCTGCAGGCTCAGAGAGCGGTCCCTGTGGAAGGTGTCCGTCACGGGCGTAACGCAGCCTCACCTTGACGTTGGGTTTGGACAGCAGTTTCAACAGCTCTCGGATCTCGCTGCTGCCTGGCCTGCTCTGAAGCTCCTCGGCCAGCTGCAAGGGAGATGACACGGGCATCAGTAGCCTGCAGTGAGCACCGTGCGGTCCCGCCAGCCAACCGCGGGGCTCCCATCGTGCTCAGGGCTGCCGCTTCCCACTGCTTGGGAAGAGACCAGCGGGAAAGACATCAGACCCATCCATCAGAGCTCTTCTTCCCAGGCCAGAGCCAAGCCCAGGCTCTCTGCTGAGGGCAGCTCAAGGCATCCTATCAGCTGGATCGGCTTCTGATTTATTGCAACGAGGGCAAATGCAGCACTTCGTCTACATGAATGGTCTCTTGCACGCAGACAAAGGACTACTTGTAAAAAGGTAAAAAGGCCTGGATCAGGCTTTGACATTGCACACACACGCACCAAAAAAAAAAAAAAATCTTCTGAACGAGGTGGTGAAACCCACAGGGTTTTCCAAAAGCCCACGGGAGCTATGGTGTTTAGAGCTGGGGTAGAAAGAACTAGAATGGCCCCAGTAGAGCAAACGGTCTGAAACTTTTATTATGTTTATCTACACCGACTAAGAAGTCTGTTCAGTGTTAATGAATTAATCATAAAGTGACCTGTAAGAGGCTGACAACTACCCAGGTACCAAAAAATGCTGACTGCACTTGACTGTAGTGGCAAGAATTCCCATTTTGCTGGCTCTATCTAAAGAGAAGGTTGTTGGAATGTAGAACCTGCCTCGTGGTTTCCATTAAGAGGTCTTTCTACCAAGATTTCTACCCGGTTTTAGAACTATAGGAAGGGCCGTATCATTCCTGTAAGTAGCAATGCAAGATTTAAACGGGAAAAACCTTTCAAATTATTTACTATGGAGTATATCGTTCAAATATATATATATATATATTCCCATTTAAAAAAAAAAAACCTTCTTAAAACACTGCATGAAATTTTCTTTTGACTCTGCTGTTTTTACCAAGCTAAAAATAGCTGTTCTTATCTCTGAAAAAAAAAAAAAAGGACTTCACTTCTAAAAGAAGGACCTAATATAAATTACACATAAAAATTTAAGATGGGAGAAAAGTGCCAGATTCATTCACTACACTTCAAAGATTGCTTGTGCCATTTTAAGGCACAATGGTAAACTTACAAAAAGACAAAGGTTCTTTCCACTCTTTTGCCACATAAAACCTAAGAATACACTGTCACACATAAATAGATTCCTTGGGCAAGTCCCGTGAGTTCTACGGTTGACACTTACCCAGGAGAGTTGCACTTTTAAGAGCAGTATTGCTGTAATGCGATTGGGCGTCAATCTCACTGGCTTTTACACACCTTCTCTAAAGGCCTTAGCAGTCCACGTTTAAAAGCTGGGTTTTCTTGTGTGGCAACTGCCCCTTATTGCTGCAACCATGCATCTACATTTATATTCACCTGCATTCCCAAGTTTTGGCTCTAAAATGCAAAGTGAGCTTGCATACTAACCTGCTAAGTCCCATCTTTCCATATGTAGCACAACTACACTGACTTAAATCAAGCAATAAATCAATCACAGCACCGTAAGAATACATAGTATGCCGCTGAAACACTCACAGGATTGAAAACTTGGGACTCAATGGATTAAACACGCTTAGAACCTCTGCAACAAAACAGGAGGGGAAATGTTTGCAGGCTAAACAAACAGTGCACCACATGGGTTGTCTATCACGTTACCGTTTTATTTTCTACAGAACAGAGAAAATATATCAAAGAAAATCCACTTTCTGAAGGTGGTCCTTTTGAACATCCTGCGACCGCCCTCGTATTTTACTAAACTGATTAAACGTTTTATCCTAATAAAACTCAACATAAAAAAGCTATGAGTGTGTTGCAGGGTATCGCTAAAACCTGCCTTCCCACTCAACATTCATCTCGCCGGGCTTAGCAGCCTTTTAGTTTACCCAGGTGTGCTCTCAATTCATCCGCGTCCCAGAGTTAACAGCAAGAATCAGCAAGTGAGTGCCCCTCCTCTGGGCTCAAAATAAAATTATAGCTACAGGAAATTAACTACTCCATCAATGCCAACTGCTTCTAAAATTTATTTTTTGGTTATGAAGGTAATTTGGAAAGGTCTAATATCCATAAATCATTACTGTGTTTTATAATCCATTTAAAAAATAATCCTGTCTTTTTTTTTTTTTTAATGTGTTTGGTATGTCTCGTTCCTATACCAGCATCTGTCTGTTTTCAGTCCTGGCAGCAACACAGCGATCTCATTTGTGTATTTCTCCAAAGCATTCCGCCTGTCTATGATATTCTCAGTACACTGGGAGCTGACAGCTCCTGCGCAGCCACAGGGTGTGGAGCCTACACTTGCTGTAACACAGTTACAACGGTGGGACAAGAGCACTGCCCACAAGCAGAATCTTCAGAACAGGAAAGTCAATGAAAATCAACATAATATCAGCATGTGCTGAGTGATGACAGGACTTCTGGAAACTCTCGCAGCTTCTCCTGGTTTGCAGTCCTAGGACTGCCTGCATCTGTCGGCACTGCGACGGGTTCTGCCTGGGCCAGGTCTGGGGCAGACGCGTCTCGGACACTTACGTCACCGGCCAAGGCTGCCGCGCCGTGGAGAATGGGCACGGGACTCTGCTTCTCGTAGTAGTGGAGTTTCTCGTGAATCTGGAAGAAAATCAAATGAGTGTCAGTTTGCCTGCTGGCAAACCATCTCAGGTATTGAAATATTTTAAAGATTGCACATGCAGCCCAATCCCTAGAATATTCTCAATGAAAGCAATGCAATTCTGTAAACCTATAGATGACACAGGTGTGTGTGTGTGTGTGTGTGCGCGCGCGCATATGTGCCCGTGGAATTCATCTGTTACTCTGGTCCAGTGTATCCAACATGGGGTCATCAAATGGAATTCACATAAAAACAAAGCCTTTGATGTTCCTCTGGATAAACACGTCCGTTTTCTTTTTCTTTTTCTTTTTCTTTTTCTTTTCTTTTCTTTTCTTTTCTTTTCTTTTCTTTTCTTTTCTTTTCTTTTCTTTTCTTTTCTTTTCTTTTCTTTTCTTTTCTTTTCTTTTCTTTTCTTTTCTTTTCTTTTCTTTTCTTTTCTTTTCTTTTTTTTTTTTTTTTTTTTTTTTTTTTGACAGGCTGAGTGGACAGTGAGAGAGAGAGAAAGGTCTTCCTTTTCCGCTGATCTGAAGCCAGGAGCTGATCCGAAGCCAGGAGCCAGGTGCTTTTCCTGGTCTCCCATGGGGTGCAGGGCCCAAGCACTTGGGCCATCCTCCACTGCACTCCCTG